TTTACTCTCTAATGAGCACTAATATTAGGTCTGCACTTTTGCAATTAATATCATCTGTTTATTTTTTCTTCTGTTGTGGGTCAGGTTGAAGGATCCATGACAGTTTCTACTACTATGAAGACAAGGGATCCCTATATTATTGTAAAAGCTAGGGATTTGATAAAACTTTTGTCAAGAAGTGTCCCTGCTCCTCAGGTTTGTGTTTTTTTTTATCCCTGTCGTTTCTCATCATCTCTGATTCTTTTCTTGTATAGCATACTAAGTGTTTGGTTAGAATTTTTAGTAGCAAGCAGTAAATAGCATTGTTTTAGGATTGAGCCCTGCTTCTGTTAATTGAACGGTATTCACTTTGTTTCAAAACCAGGAAAGGGTTGACTTTTGTTTTGATCAGTAATGCAGGGGAGGTTGGACTAGTCATATATGTTGAATTATAAAGTTATTTGCCAGCTTTAAGTTTATTTTGACCAGCAGCTATCTTATGCTTAATCAGAATGGTGGTGCAAAGGAGAGGGTTATAAAAAAAACTGGAAGGCTTTGTTACATAGCTGTTAATAAGTAACTAACCAAAATGTGGAGCCTCTCTATGGTCCACAAATTTCCTGGGACAACTGTAGTGATATTTAGATTTAGGTGTCACTTATTTGCTCTGAACAATTCATCTTCTTTCTGCTTGGATATTGTTTCGCATAAAGCAGATCTGCACTATGCTATCTATTGCATATTGTTTAATGGCCTTCTATTCTACTTGTCTATTATTTTTTTATTTTTTTTGATAACCGAGAAATCCGTCTGTGACCCGCCCTTTGGACCAATCACAACCTTCTAAACTCGGTGGATAATGGGCCCGCCCCTCTACCCTTCTCCACTTAAATACCGGGCTTCGCTTTGCACGGTGTTTGAACCTGCGACCTAAGCCACAAATCCTCCACCTTTTGCTACTCGAGCTAGGCCTTGGGGGCGCCTATTATTTATTCTGTTTTTCACTTTTCGCCATCTATGGTACATAACAGAAGAGAAAAGAAAACACATTTATTATCCACAAATTTGCTGTTCGTGTCCCCTCTGCAATTCGAATGTTAAGCTGGAGGATTGCTTCACTATATTATGTGCTCTTTTAGTTATCCAATAGTCTCTTCAACTGTTGGTTAATTCTAAATGAAATGTGTTTTCCCAGGCTGTCAAAATCCTGAATGATGAGATGCAATGTGACATAATCAAGATCGGCAACATGGTTCGCAACAAGGTGTGCTATGCTCATCCCTACTCAAATTAAGTAAATGTATTTCAATTTTATCTTTTATTTGGTGGATGATTTTGATGAGAACATGAATTCTATGTATGGCTGTCAAACACTTTGTTGGATACTCGTCAAATAAAAATGTTCCTTCACATAATATGCACACTTTTGATAAGTATGCTCATTCACAATATTCCATACTTTTTTTTACAAGTATGAGAGGGCTCGCACCCCCCCCCCCCCCCCCCCACCACCCGTCCCCACTCCTATTTGTTCACCCAGCCTGAATCCCAAAAGTAGCCTTGAAGAGACTCAAACCTCTAATTTCCTTAGCATGAGATTCCCTTACTTCATAAAAAAAAAGAGATCTGTTTCAAGGATTGCCTGTGTACCAGTTCTTCACTAAAGGATCTTAAATTGCACTATGTGCAGTGAGTGTGATATGTTCCTTTTGCCTTGATGATTATCACTGTTGTATCAAAGGTACTAGTAAAGATGGATATGATTTCTAAACTTATAAGATATCTTTAAGTGCATGATTGGACTATAACTCCTGGTGAACAAAATAGTGTTTTTTGTAGAATACTACTTCGACCGTTCCCATTTTTTTTAAAAAAAAATATATATATATTAAAATTGTTGCTGCAAAAGAAATTTTATATGAATGATGTCACATAAAAGTTCAAAATTTGATTGCCTGAACATTGTACAAGTTATATAGAATAGTATTGTTAGTTGAATAGTGTCAAACATTAATGTCCCAGAAAAGGAAATAGTGTCATATGAATTTGAATCAAGATTAGTAAAAATAATGGTAATAATGGGATGTAAAGCTCATTGTTAGATTACTGTTTTTCTGGGTATTCATGTTCACGTGTTTGTCTAAATTCACGTTATTAAACTCTCTGTTTTTCAGGAGCGCTTTGTTAAACGCAGACAATATCTCGTGGGTCCCAATTCGTCAACTTTAAAGGTTAGTGGATTGGGTTCTGCACCATTCTCTGGAAATCCTAATTGGCTAGGAGAGCATTCTATGCACATTGTTATGTAGGACTGAGAGAAGAACATTTGTCAAAAGACCATTCTCTGGACCAAAAATCATTTCGTCAAGGAGTATTTTCTTATTTCTTTGTTTAGACCAAGCATGAGCTGGAGAGCATTTGTACTGTGTTTGCTTACTTGTCAGGATGATTTATTTATTCATAGTGGATGGCCCAACTTCCAACACGAAGATTTTCCCAGAATATTCATCTTGAATCAATAATGACGAATTTGTGAAATTGAACTTCTAGAGAGTAGATAGTTTACCTTATTGTGGATTTGTGGGTAATGATTTTGTTGCTCCTTTACATTAGTTGTTTATCATGGGTATTGTCTAGTAAACTGATGACCCTTGACCAGAGCCACATGAGGTTTAGTCCTACCTCCTACCTGTGCCAGCACGACTCATCCATACCAAATTCGTTATAGAAATGTTGAGATATAGATCGCTTAAATGTTGATAAATATCTGACACATCTTGCTGAGTTATTATTACCTTCTGCCATAGAGCTTGATATATATCACTTTGGATGTAGGCCCTGGAAATTTTAACCGGCTGCTATATCCTTGTTCAGGTATACTTGCTGTACATTTAAACTGCAAATTTAGTGTCGTTTTTCTTTTCTTCCTTTATGTTTAAGTTTTTGCCTTATCATTGAATCTTTAATTACATGATATAAATATTCTTGCTAAATTGGGAACAAACCTTAATCTTGCCTAAAATTGAGTAGGGAAACACAGTTGCTGCTATGGGTTCCTTTAAAGGTCTAAAGCAGGCGAGGAGGGTTATAGAGGACTGCATATTGAACAAGATGCATCCACTACATCATATCAAGGTAAATGAGCAAGTGCATGATAATTAAAAATGAATTTCATGGGGTATTTGGCTATTTATGATGCTCTGGCTAAAATATCTGATAATTTACTTTTGCTGACGTATCTGTTCAACCATAGATCCTCATGCTGAAGAGAGAGCTCGCAAAAAATCCAGCTCTGGCTAGTGAGAACTGGGACAGATTTCTTCCGCAATTTAAGAAGTAAGGCATCCTTTCAAATGGTGTTGAGTCAGATTAATTTTTTAATCTGCGGTGCCAATTTCAAAGCTTGAATATTATTTTTTTCGTCTTTGTCCATTCAGGAAGAACGTTAAACAGAAGAAAGTTCAGAGCAAAGAAAAGAAACCATATACGCCTTTCCCACCTCCTCAGCCACCTAGTAAGGTGAGATTTTTTGGTTCTAGAGTACCAAACTTTGTCCATTTATTTTGTGCTCTTTCTTTTCTTTGTCTCTATTTTATCTGTAGAGTTTTAAGCATAATAAAACCCTCAGCATTACACTCAAGTACTGTGTAATTGTTTTTAGGCAATTATTGGCATGGTGCTGTAATCAGTTATTCCGTTGAATCCTGCTTCTTTGCTTGCTTTTATCTCACTGGTGTTCACTAGATTTTGTGGTTTATTTATTAGTATCTTCAAATGTCTATTGTCTCCTCTTCTCTTGTGGTGACGAGGATCTATTAAGATATATCCTCTGTTAATTTAATCAAATGTGTATAACTTTTTTGGTTGTAGATTGATCAACAACTGGAAAGTGGTGAATACTTCTTAAGTGACAAGAAGAAGATGGCAAAGCAGTGGGAAGAGAAGCAAGTCAAACAGGCTGAGAAGGTTGCTGAAAACAAGAAAAAACGGGAAGAAGCTTTTGTTCCACCCGAGGTTTGTATTCACATAATCTCATCAGAGCATATTTGTTTGGCAGTCCATATGTGCATTTCCTATTGAACATTGTTTGCTTGCACTTCTGCAGGAACCAAAAACACATAACCAAGATGTGTCCAACGTGGATAAAGATGATGTCACTGCCATGGCATCGTCATTGAAGGTATTTCCATGATGCTTTTAATTTATATTGCACCCTTCTGTGTTTGGACTTTGATTCTTGGATTGCTAATGATTTTGATGCATTCATATTGGTCTTGCTGCAGAGAAAAGCAAAGGAGTTCAGGAAGCAAAAATCAATTGATAAGATTGATGCCGAGGAGTTTATTGCAGGTCCAAGCAAACCATCTAAAAAGAAATCAAAGAGCTCTAGATAAGTAGTTGTCTCATATTGGCCGTTGGTGATTATGATTGCTGAAGAAAGTCTGTAAAAATTGTTGTCTTGTCACTGTATTGTATCTTTCATTCAGCAGCCATATTGACGTTAAAATTCTAGAGGACCTTCCCTTCCATGCCATCAGCACGACGATCAGCTAGTCCTAGTATCTGGCATTTTTGGAAACGGGGAAAACACTCTTTTTTCCCCCTTTAGTTGTGATGATGGGCGAAGTCCATAGTGTTGTTGCTTTGTGTATCATACTGATTAATCGCGTTTGCTTTGTGTCACAAGTAATTTAAACAGACTGATCAATGAGAGTATTTATATTTTGTGTTTAATCTTTATGTCATGTTATTCATCATCATCGCATTTGTGTAGTCTATGTGGAAGTGTATGGACTTCCATACTTGCAACATAAGAAAGGAACTTCTGTTCTTTGCAAGTGAGAAGAAAAATCCTTTTTTTTTTCTGGGTTTTCCTCGAATTATACTAAATCTGTTATATGAGTGAATACTTATAGTAACCTGAAAAGTACAGCAAAATAACCTACTACGTGCAAACTATTGGTGTATATAAGTTAAATCCATACGATATACATTACAATTCTCACTTGTATGATACAAAACTAAAACAAAGGATCAAACGAAAGCTCGAAAATAGATTTAAGTTCATCCCAGTTGCCATGGTCTAACCACTCATTAAAGTCCAGAGGAGTACTGGAATTGGATGTTGCAGCACCAACAGTTGTACTTTGAGATGAGGTTCCTGAGCTTTGTTGGCTTACAAACTGATGCTTATTTTCTGTCACAGTATTAGTATAAGTATTCTGGTTAGCAACAGAAGTAGTGCTAAAACTGATGTAAATCTGGGAATTATTTGAAGAAGATTCAATACTATTATTGCTGCATATTTTGGAGCTTAAAACATCCTTATTCATCACTGAATTGTTTCTTTGTTTTTTTGCCACTTCTTTCCAATCTGGTATTGGTTTCTTATATAAAACATTTCGTTTCAAGATACGGCAAAGAGTCCATGTTTCCTGGATTATTAAAAACAAAAAAAATCATGTTAGAACTCTGGTTTCCACTTTAATCCATGAGAATTATTTCAACAGTAAATAAAAATGTATTCAATCTTATCCGTTAAACTTTTACATGAGGTGTGCAGCCATGCAGGTCATACATTTCAACATAGCATCAGAACATGAGTTCGATCAAGGAGATATATAAGTAAATAAATTGTGTCATTTCAAATAGCTTAAACTACTGTATGAGATGTTTACACCATTAACCATTATGGTATATATATCAGAGAGGGATGCTATTTTAAGTCTTACCCTACCCTTCGGGGAGGCCCAGTGGTTTAGGCTTGGGACTGGTCTCAAGTTCGAAACTCCTTACCAGCAAAGCAAGCTAAGGGATTTGCCTTCTCGGTCGAGCTCATCGCACCAGGCTTGCCTAGTGCGGATTAATTACCTCTCCCGTGTGGTTTGTGAGCTATTGCATAGGAGCGGGGGTTTTACCCTGTGCGCACCCAAAAAAGGTAGCGGCTACGGGTTAACAGTTAGAAAAGCATTTTTTGGCAAAGACAAAAAAAAAACGTTGCCTGTTGTTGCGGAAAATTCCAATGCAAAAAGTCATGCAACACTGACACTATTTGGAAAGCACCACTATATGACATTAATTATTTTTCAGCCATAGAAATATCATGACATGCTTAACGTCACAAATTTCGTATCAAATCAAACTATTCATGCTGAACAAAATGAATCATAGTTATTAGATGGATCGAAATGAAATGTTTCTTACAGCTTCTTGAGGGATGGTGTTAGCATGAAGATGTTTGGTTGATTTATCATTTTCTACAGGAAGACGAAACTCATGCATCTGCCACTCGGTTTTCGTGCCTTTTCCGGCGCTGCCACGGTAATATACCAGTGATTTTTTCAGGCCAATGCATTTTCCAGATGAGTAAATAGGTCTATCAATACCAGTAGCTTTCCAAAATCCAGAACCAGCAGTCACTCTGTTAGGTCTTAAGCTGTTTTTGTATTTTCTCCTTCTTTTGCAAAAAAAATACCATTCCTTCTCTCCATTATTGTTACTACCCTCTGAAACACGTCAAATTAGGAATTTTGTTAAGGGTGTTCACAAATATACATAAAAAATAACTTTTGATCTATATATGCATCACGTGTAACTTTTGATGTTCAATTAACCATTCTTTAGTTTATGTATGGCTAGCTCCCCAAAGATATGTAATTTGTTAATTAGAAGAATAAAAGATCACGTACTTGACCTAAGAAAAAGAGTCAGGTTCACATGTGAGGCCGAACCACTAGTTTTTCTCTAAATTTTCGTATTCTTATATATATATAATAAAAGAGTTTTAGCTAATAATAAATTAATATATGTTCACAAAATTGAGCATATATATCTTCTAGCACTTTCTACTACATTTGCATATTCATTCGAGGTTGAGACGTTCTACGTTGAAGTGTGTGATCATCTCATTTAAAAATTTAAGTTTTTAGAGAGCATACTTCTTTTACTTAATTATTTTCAATACGCTCGTTCCGTGGCTCAAAAATTATAATCATATAAAGAATTTAGAAGATCTTTACATGCAAGTATATAAGTTTAAACAAAGTTCGATCTTTTTCTCATGTTCTGATGATCTTACAGAAGCACTAGCTTGCCTTAGATCCAACGATAATTTTGATGAATTTTTCTTTTGTTATACAATTGTAATAATTCCCTACCTATAATTTCCTTTTTTTTTTAAAAATAAAAATAAAAAAATAAATAATTGTTTCTACTATATAATTGGTGTTACCACTTCTAAAAATATATTATTTTTTCACTGAATTTTCCACTAAAAAATGTTCACGGGCTATTCTCACCTATATTTTGATTGAATCGGTGAGAAAAAATAAAAAATATTAATGATTTCATATGGAAAAATTAGAAAGTTTTCCACTAATTATTTCAGTAAGAATTTATTTTCTATTATGCATTTTTCGAATAAGCTAGTTCAGTAAAAATTGAGTGAAAAAAAAAAAACATATTTTATAGCACAAATTTCTCACTGATTTGAAAAATAAAAACCGTTATTTCTACTCGTGTCCTACAAAATTTCATAATTGATGCCTTGTGGTTGTAGTCGGATACAAAGGTTTTCTGAGCACATGATTGTTAATTAGGATTTTCTCAAAAACAATATAATTCACTAAAAACTCTTCATCAAACATCATAAAATAAGTTAATTTTGACATATCATAACATACCGAACATCTTTATATATTCTTGCATATTTAGTTCTTTTTTCATCAAGAAAACCCTTTAATATTGATAAGAATACTTATAATTATGTGAGAGAAATGAAACAAAACATGGTCTAGTTTAAGTTATATACACAACCAAAAGCGATCAGAAAGTAAGAGAGTTAAAGTAGACATACTTGGTAGATCCCAAGGATCATATTTATAGATATCGATCTGCTTAATAATCTCTAAACCAATCGTTTTTTTCTCAATTTTCCTGCGTAAATAAAACCCTACAAGCTCTTCATCAGTGGGATGAAATCGAAAACCTGGAAGTACAACATCATCCTCATCCTCGTCCTCTTCCTCCTTGTAGTAATTATTTGTAACTATGCTATTTATTTTTTCCACTTCCATCATTAATTCTGGAAGAAAATTATAAAGTAGTGGTAATTAATTAAGTGCCTTGTTAGCTAGGGTTATATATAGTACATATTTTTGTACTTATTAAGACTTTGTTCCTTAATTTGGTCAAAGTCATTAGCATTAATTGACTTTGTTGTTTCAGGGCAAAACATCTTTGAATTGACGCAGTCTTATGATTACCCCTTGACTTAAAATACAGGAAAACTCAAATATTATTGAAAGGATCCACAATTATTATTTATTTATAAATTATAAAACTTATATAAGAGGTATAAAGACTTTTTTCTTATCAGTATTAGAAAATATCATCATATATAAATGTGAAAGGAATCCTTCTAATTAATTCTTTAGTTTTTACCCCCCAAACATGACCGCTCTCCAAGATAGTAAACAAATTTAAGTGAATATACGAAGAAGTAAAGGGGATTCAAGTATATATAATATATATATATTTATTTATTTTATTAATATAATATAATTTTTTAGCAAAGAGATATTAATTGGACAAAGACGGAACTAAATTGTTGTGTTTGAATTATGATGGTATATAGAATCTATTTTTGTTTTGTTTTTCATTTGGTGTTCCAAATTTCGCGCATGGTAGAACCGATTATAGTCCTCTAATAATTTAATTTGGATTGAAACAAAATTAATTCTAGATCAATATTTAATACATATGTAGCTAGGTTTTAAAGTTTGATCCATGTATTATAACACACATATTTTCTTGCCCAAAACTTAATTTATTATAACACACATATTTTCTTGCCCAAAACTTAATTTATTTTCCAAGTTTATTGTTCCCTAACACTCATTCAACTCTTAAAACATTAACACAACATTCTCATTTGACCATTTTAATTCTTTAAATTACATCTAAAAGAGTAAAAGATTTCTAGGTCGAAGGATCGAAATGTTACATGATCTTATTGCTATATTAAGTAAATTTCAAACTTTCCACCCTAAATGCATGAGACATTTTTATACGCTAATTATACACCATTAATATATATTACCAGATGAAATATATATATTATATATCCTCGACTATTTTAATTTAAGCAGTTGAATAATCATGGCTATTTATCAATTCATCATATTATAATTAAGAGAAAAATGACAAATATATCCCGAACTATTGTAAATGGTATGCAGATACCCTCCGTCATACTTTAGGGACATTGGTGCCCCCGCCATCCAAAAATTAGAACATATATACCCTTTATACTAACGGTCATACACGTATCACAATCTTATCACCAACCCGACATTTATTAAATATCGGATTGACGGATAAGATTGCGCCACATGTCCCTACTTAGTCTTCCGTTAGAGTGAAGGGCATAGATGCTCTAGTTTTTGGACGGCCGGGGAACCAATGTCCCTAAAGTATGACAGAGTGTATCTACATGCCATTTACGATAGTGCGGATGTATATTTGTCCTTTTTCCCTATAATTAATACTTAATAAATTTAACAAGCCCAAATTTTAAAGGAAAAAGGACAAATATACCCCCGAACTATCATAAATGGTATGCAAATACCCTCAATCATGCTTTTGGGACATTGGTGCCCCTGCCGTCCAAAAACTAGAGCATACATACCCTTTATACTAACGGACATACGCATGTCATAATCTTATCCACCAATCCGACATTTATCAACGGATAAGATTGCGCCACGTGTCCCTATTTAGGCTTCCGTTAGAGTGAAGAGTATATATGCTCTAGTTTTTGGATGGTAGGGGCACCAATGTCTCAAAAGTATGACGGAGGATATTTGCATACCATTTACGATAGTTCGGGGGTATATTTGTCCTTTTTCCCAATTTTAAATCAGTGGAAGGTCATTCAAAATATTTTTCTTGGTGGGAATTTAACCTAATCTCAACCATTGTAATATTTTTGGAGTTCGACTCATTTTCATTACATAACGACAAATAATAGAAACTTCTTTAATTTATTTGTGGAGGAGACTAATAACAGCCGCAATCATTGAAAAGTATATGTAGATAAATTCACACAAAATCTAATATTATTGCTTTAATTTGTTTGTCAAGTAAGGAGGGGCAAAAAAGGAAGGAGAGATTGAAAAAACAGGGAAAACGAAAGATTAATGTTTGCAAATTTACGGGCTGCAATTATAGTTTAAGCTGCTATGAGTGACCTCGTTTGTACAATTCACGTGTATTTGTATAATAAAACTATTTTCGCTCATATTTATATAAACTGGTTAGTATCAATTGATTTGTATTTTTTTTTTGTATAAACTCGAAATAACAACAAACACCAACATCTGTACTTTAAACTGTTGTACAAATTATATTATACAAATTACATTATACAAAAGTTATACGAATTCCGAAAACTATATGATTTATACAACTGAAACGCTGTCGCCTAAATTAGCCTAGAAATTAGTGGCGAATGGTAATTAATTCAAAACTGTAGCTATGTTAACTAATTAATTGGTATATAGATTATGGTTGCTATCTGCATAATTTCCCCGATAGCTATTTACTTCATTTCAAATGCAAAAATAAATTATAAAAATAGAGAAATTGAACTTGAACGTACTATTATATTTTTTAAATTCATTACAAGAAACATGCATTTAGCGGAAATATTCAGATAAACTGCTTCTAACATTCCTTTTGTTAATGTTTATTAACTCGACCTCCTGAACTTATTGAAGTATATTGTATTTACTCTTTACTTATGGATTTCTATGCATGTCTACATTTAATTTAATTTTTGAAAGTATAGAAAATATTTTAAAATTTAGAAATTTCTATGAAATAATTAATAATATGAGTTAAAAAATTATGAAAAGTTGAAACTTATCAAAATAATTTTTAAAAAGTAGAGATTTAAAATAAATTTGATATTTTCTAAAAATTACAAAACTAATAAATCTATTCAACGTGAAGAACTAATTATGTTTCAGATAATAAAAATTAAAATTAGAAGTTTCATTACTCTACTCTTCTCTTCTCTTTATTTTTGATCTCTCCATTTATATATCTAGTTAGTTATTTATATTTATTGGTTATAAATATTTAGGGTAAAAAAGTTACATTCACAAGTACAAAGAAAATGATGGCTAAACTGATTTCATTTGACTTCATAACTTAAAATTTTAAAAGTGTTTCAACACATATTTTTATTAAAGTGAAAATTTATCATATATATATATATATTATAAAAAGAGAATCTTAGGCCTGCCTATGTGGCGCAACCACAAACCAGAATTTTCTTTTAATTTATTTATTTCCAAAACTAGTCTTCTCTTTTCATGAATAGTATCAACTTTTATGAAAAGTTATGACTTTTATGAAAAGTTGCGACTTTAATAAAGAGTTTCAACTTTTATGAAAAGTTGTGACTTTTATGAAAGATTGTGACCTTTTCGAAGGGTTGCAACTTTTCCAAATAGTTGTAACCTTTCCGATAAGGCACAATAAACATTTGTTCACACTACCCTTTGTTGTCTATAAATAAAGGAATTTCTTCTCATTTTAAAACAACGAAGATTCTGAACCTCTTCTTTTTCTTCACAATTAAATATTTGTGTACTTTGTTCATGTTGAGTGGCTCATTGACACCATTGCTTATGTTACAGATCCTGGTATGTATTTTTGCAGTCATTAATTTATGCTTATGATATTAAGGATAAATGATAAGATGTAATAATTTTCATTTTCCTTTACATTATTAATGTTTGTTACTACGTAATCTTGTATGTAAGATAATATAGTGTTTTAGTTTTAATGACTGGTAGGTTTTAAGTATTATTTTATAAATTTCGTGATATTAAATTCCCGCGTGAAGTGCGGGTACTTTTACTAGTTATATTATAAGTGGGAAGGTGCTTAGTCTAAAATTGGATTGTGAAAATGCCTTTCAATTTTTTAATTATCATTATTATATTATTATTATAATTATTAATATTAATTAATTATTATTCTATAAGTGTGAAGCCATTAAAGTTGAATGATTTTTTAACTCTTCAAGAAATCACCATTAAAGTTGAATGACTTTTTAATTCTTCAAGAAATCACTATACCTACATGTCTCTCTCTTCAATTACTATCACCATTATACTCTTTTAAGTAACATAATTTTCACAATAAATTACAATTCTAAATATGAAAGCAAAATGAAAAGACAATTATTCATTAAAAATAATCTTTTTAAAGAAACTGACATATATTTTCAACAAGTCCATATTTTTTTTTATCCGTCAGATGCATATTTTCTCTCTAAAGCCTTTTCTATAGACCTGAAGTCTTCCTTTCTCCTTTGATTGCTTTGGCAAAGGCTTGAAGCCCTTAATCAATACAAGGGTCTCGCTATAACATAAATTTGAATGGATAAATTCTGCTCCCACTTTTCTTTAACTTTTTGTTCTCGGATTGAACAGGCTGAACAACCTGATTGAAGTATTATGTCGCAACTGCTAAGACTCCATATATATCAGATACTTGAAATTTATAGCAATAACAAACTTCTTTTATCATATACCACCTTCATGTGTCCATAGATCAACATTGCTACTCCTCAATCCTCGGACATACGAAATAGAACAATTTTAAATAACTAATTTTTCTTTTAGACATAGCATATTTAATCACATGACAAATTATAGTCACACGCTAGTATAAAGCAATAATAACTTGATATAATTAGCGACTTAAAACCAAACTTTGATAATGTGTTTAAATTTATAAAATAAAGTTTGTATATGTTTGCATTTAATTTAATTTTATGATAGTGATATTGGAGCCATTTTACAACATCTATACCGCTCAAAGAAAGCTTATATAATCTTTTAAGAAACTATAAAATATAAATGAATGTATGTTATTATTAGCTAATTTTAATTAAGGTTAGCAAGTCCGTTTTCATTTTCACCTGTTTATTAATTAAAATTATTATTAAGAGATTTATCTATAATTACTTAATAAAGGCTTTGATTAATTATATAATATTATTTTTAACACCATCTATGCATATATAGAACTTAATTACTACTATCATATTAGTATATATCAGTAACCATTTTTGAAAAAAAAAATTAATTAAATAAATACGGAAGTACTTAGGAGTATAGTACCTAATCTGTATTTGATTAAATCATTTGAGAAACGATAATTTTTATTAGTATTAAAAAAGCAGTCCAAGAGCTAGAGCGGGTCGAGCTTTTAAATTTAGATTCATTAGTCAAATATGTGTTCTTTTTTAATTAGTTTTGACAACGATAAAATTTTGTCACCTTAATTATTTGAAACTAAGAATTAATTAATTGTGAGGAATATAAGGGTTTATACTACAAAAATAATAAAGAGAATTAATTTATTAATGTGATGTAAGGTGACATGAATGATGACTTGGTGTAGTGTTGTTTTGGTCAAAGTCAGGATAAATGATTTTTAGGTTTCATGGCACATAGAATTTTATTGTTTTTTGGAAAGGAAGAAGTCGTTTAAGATCCGTTTGATCATAAAAATTATTTGATTTTGTTAATGGAAATTTAGTCTTTTAATATAAGGTTCGTTTGAGTTAATTCATAAATGATCACAAGATTTTTACTCTATTACATTTAGTCATTAAATTATTTTTTCATAAATTTAAAATAACTCTAATTTTATTTTAGTATTTATAAAAAAAAATTGCTAAGTTATTTTTTGTAACCAATAAAAATGGTTCAATTCTATTTAAGTATCATGAAAAGTCATTAGAAAGTTCTTATTTCCTGTTAACCTATATTAGAACTTCTAGACTGAAAGCTACTCCCTACTTTCTAGCCATCAATTTACTTTTCTTTGGTATAGAAGAAGATGATAGTTTAGAATTATGATATACAATTCTAACGTTAATATATACGTAATAAATTAGTTCAATATAGTTTAGGATGTACATTCTAATATTCAGTGGCGGATTTAAGATTTTATGATCGTGGGTGTTGATCTTTCCCTAATGTAAAATTGTCATAATAACAATAACATATCCTGTATAATCTCACAAAATAAGAATTAACATAAAATTGCTAGTGATCACAAAATATAAGAGCAAAATTATTTGAACACAATAATAATGTTTAAAAAAGTTAACCAAAAAAAAACTAAATGAAAAAGAAAACAAAGAGAGTTAAAAAATTAATAAATAAAGTAAAATAAAACTGAAAAGAGAACAAGCTAAGATTTATAGAAGAAAAAAGAAATTAGGAATTCACAAAAATGATTTAAAGGGAAATTAAACCGTGAACATAATGCCTAACAAAGACCCTCACTTCAAGTTCTCAATCAACGCACCCAGCCCAAGTTTAGACTAGTGGGTGCTCTTCACCTATTATATAACAATTTAAATAAATTTCTATATAAAAATTATATGATTTGCATCGGAGTTAATAGGTGCTTGAACACATGTTGTACGTGGATTCACCTCTACTAATATTATAATAAAATAGATAGTTGCAGCGCTCTCTATATATATATGAACCACTATTTTTGAGTCGAGAAAATATGAAAAGTTATATTTTTACGCTCAATATTAATTTATATATTAGTAAGAGCACTATATAGAAAATGTCAAACGCTATATACTCATCATGACTTCGGAAAGATATTTGTTTGACTTTGGCATTCACGCATCACAACAATTTGACATTCATTAAAATTGCATAAACATTATAGGATATATATATATATATATATATATATATATATATAAGAAAAAAAAAACAATATGCATGGCAGGAAATATGAATAGTGCTTTGGTTTGAATAAACTAATTCAATGAAATAGAGGTGTGTAAAAATTGAATCGATCAATAAATTGATAAAAAAATATTATTGGTTTATTGATATTGGATTCTTGAATTAAGAAATTTTTATTGGTTTTATAAAAATAATATTGGGTTATCGATCGATTGTGGGTTTTTAAGGGTTATTGGGTAAATCGATAACCCATTAACTATTAAGACTATAGTAATTTACTCTTTAACCCTACATAAATATTTAAATATTAATATGCAGTATCTTACTGGTTATTATCTTTGTCATTTAGCCTTTAATTCACATTTTTATCCTAGTTCTTTTATTTGTGTGTACTTGTATAGTTCTTTTCATGTATTATTTCTATTTTATGAGTATTATGTAAAGTTATATTATTGTTCTGTCACGTCAAACTGTTGGAGAAGTCATATATTTATTTTATGAGTATTTTCTTATTGGTTAAACTGAAAATCGAATCATTAAGGACCAAAATGATAAAAAAAAATATCTTATGGATTTGATTATTGATTTTGCTTATTTAAAAATTGAAAATCAATAAACCGCACCAATAATACTTAAACCCGAATCAAACCGAACGATGCACGCCTCTACAATAAAATAACAACACCAATAACATATATATCGGCCATAATATTTCTACAAGTGGAGTTTAAAAAAGTGATGTGTATGGAATGTTACTTCTTTCTTGTAAAAGTAAAAAAATATTTTTGATGAATCTTCGACTTGAATAATCATATAACAATTAGATATATAAAACAAAATACAACATCAAATAATTCATGCTTATAATGCAATAAAAGAAATATGATAGTCTATGGGCATCCATGTCTCTTCATTAATTTCTTCATTCTTGACATTTTCTAAACTTAAACCCCACTAATCCACCATTTGAGACTTGACTACTAAACAACTTATAGCATACTATTTCGTCACGGAATGAGAAATTTACGTAAGAATATTAAAATATTACACTTGAAATTTAAAGCGATTTTTTAAATCGCCAATTATATTAAAGTTTTATTTATTTTTAGATATTCAACTATTTATATATAATATTAAAATATTTTTATTCTATTTATACAAAATAATTTTCAAATTAAAAAATAATTGATTGAACTAGACTACTTACCAAAGGACATGTGGAAGTGGAAGTCAATGATTTATACAAATGAAAGATTATGTGTTGACATTAACGTTTTCACTAGAAACGTTTTGTCACAATTTTTTATTATATAGTTTGGTTAAATTATTACAAGCCTGAAATATAGAAAATAAAAGATAAAAACAAAGAAGTTCGTCAATATAAGGTAAAAGTTTTTGGTCATAAAGGATTGCACAAGTGTCTACTAGTTTGGTCTCTCACTCTTTCTGTAAATATATTTTTATTCAATTATATATAAAAAAATTGACTTTATTGCAAACATAATATCTTCACTTTATGTAATAAAGAATTTATAAGATTATGATTGCTTCTAGACTTTGAAGAAAAATCAGCACAAAGCACCATTATTGGTATTGATACCCTCTTAAATAGTTGACTGTCTATTGCTTAAAAGTTAAGATTAACACCAGGTAAAATATCATCAGACATCATTATGATAGATGATTATTTTTTCACTCTTAACTAACATATTCGAGTTCGGATCATCGTGAAATAATTTTTATAAAGAGTCTTTTACCTTTTAAAGCGGAGTTTTACCATATGAACCCGAATTAAATTTCATATATAGATCGTTCCATCTATAATTACAAAAAATAGCAATAGTTGGCGTGTTTACAAAACGTAACAAAATTTGAAAATGAAGCGGAATACATTTTATCCACATACAAGTAAAATACACTGTAGATGACACTTGTATTTTATGAGATACAGTTGTATCATCACTAGAAATAACCTCAACCACAAAAAAAAAATCACGTGTATATATATCACTTTTAATTTATTAAATACACTATATTTCAGACTTGAAATACGAAGATACACATATTCGGTGTATTTGTTACAAACACAAACTATCATTATATATCATAACTTTTAGAGAATACACATATTCCGTATATTTGTTACCAAACCCAAACTATCATTATATATCATACATTTTAGAAGATATACATAGTCGATATATTTGTTACCAAACCCAAAACTATCATTATGTAATATAATTTTATTTAAAATATCGCTAGTTAAAGTAATATATATATATATATGCTATATTTGTTGTGTCTCGTAATTTTTCCTAAACTAAGCTTCAAAGCGAAAATCAAATATGGAGTGAAAAATCAAAATTTATCCATGATTGATTGGATCCTAAAGTATGTTCAAGATAAGGCTAAGCCCAAAGTCACATTTTTGCTTACTCTAAGGCCCACAAATCAGACAGATCATCATGTTCAGTTTTGTGCATCGTCGGTGTATGAAATTTCTACACCATCAGGTACTTTTAATGAAATTTAACCATAGTAATTTATTTAATAAAATAACAATAATTATAAAAAGGAAAAAAAAAAAGAATATCAACAGTTGAGTCCTACTTGGATTCTAATCATATTTATTTCTATAACTAAATTATTTTCTTTCCATACTTAAATACAATATTGAGTTTTACCGTATGTTTTCCAGAATCATGCTTATGTAGTTCTTCAAAGCTTCAAAACTTGTGAATTTGCTAAGTAATAATTTTTAAAGGCATCAGGCGATTTTGAAACTTGACAAGCTTCTTCTACCTAGTGGTATGTTGCTATACAATTAGAACAAATTTCACATTTTTTTTCTCGTTTGCCAGCATAAAAAAGCCTCTTTTGAACAATATCTTCATGAGCAAAAGAATTTCAATGTACTAAAATAAGTGAATAAAGTCTCATGAGAGGTGAATATTGTATCTTAAAGTGTTTTTATATTGTCCCCAATACGTTTGCTCTGCTCTTTAGAATGTTGGGAAGGAGTTTATTGATTGAACTTTCACTAATATTGAATATGTTTTATAATTGAAGTGTTGAAAAATATATGAGCAGATTCATTATTGTAAGCTATCTAACTTTCTTAATTGTATTTTGCAGGATTAATGGAAAAATCAAATGTAGATGTGCAAAATATAGGAGTTGAAGTTCTATTAGAAGAAAGTGACATGGAGGGAACTGGACAAACTGCTTCCGATATAGGTGTGGAAAATTCAAAAGATCCCTACATTAGTAAGGAGTTTCAGTCTTTTGATGATTCATTTAAGTTTTATCTTGATTATGCTCATCGTAATGGTTTTAGTGTGCGCCATGGTCGTATGACTAAATCAAGGAAAGATAAATCAATAATTGGTCAAGAGTTTGTTTGTTCGAAGCAAGGATTTCGTTCAAAGAAAAATTTAGAAAGCAATAAACCACAAGATGAAACTAGAGAAGGATGCAAAACGTTGTTATATATGTCGAAGAAAGGAGAAGATAAATGGGTTGTTTGTAGGGTTGTTGCTGAGCACAATCATGAACTTGCATCTCCAAATAGTCAAAAGTTTTTGCGGTCAAAAAGGAAAAAAACGGAGGCCCAAAAAAATCTTATTGATTTGCTTGACAACTCAGGAGTCCGTCCAAGTAAAATAGCGTCAGTGTTGATAAATCAAGTTGGGGGTGTTGATCTACTGAATTTAACAGGTCAAGATATTCATAATTATTTACACACAAGAAGACAAAAAAATCTCGAAAAAGGAGATGCACAATTAATGCTACAATATTTTCAAAGACGTCAATCCGAGAATCCAGGTTTCTTTTATGCAATACAGATGGATGTAGATGGTCATTTAGCTAATTGTTTTTGGGTTGATGCTAGATCTAGGATTACGTATAAGAACTTCGGGGAAGTAGTTGTTTTTGATCCTACATATCTGACAAATAAATATAAGATGCCTTTTTTTCCATTTACTGGAGTTAATAACCATCATCAATCTATTTTGTTTGGTTGTGCTCTACTTTGGGATGAAACTCAAGACACTTTTGAGTGGTTACTTCGTACTTGGAAAGAGGCAATGTTTGGAGTGGCACCTCATACAATCATAACAGATCAAGATTCTACCATAACAAATGTAGTTGCAACAGTATTTCCTAACAGTAAACATCACTTTTGTATGTGGCACATAACAAAGAAGATTCCAGAATATCTAAGTCATGTGTACCATCAATATAACGACTTTAGTAACAAGTTTAGTTGGTGTATTCATGGTACAACCACTCCTGAGGAGTTTGAAATGGTGTGGTTCGAGATAATGAAAATGTATAATTTAGAAGAAAATAGTTGGTTGCAGAGGATATATGCAATTCGTGAAAAATGGATATCGGCATATGTGCGTAGCACTTTTTGTGCAGGCATGTCGACAAGTCAAAGAAGTGAGAGTATGAACAAATTTTTTAAAGATTATTTGAATTCTAGTACTCCAATGAGTGTAATTGTGGTGCAATATGATAAGGCTATTGACGCTAGATATGATAAAGTAAGGGAGAAGGATTACAAGACAAAACATTCAAGACCTATCTTGAAAACTTTGTATCCTATGGAAGATGAAGCAGCGAAGGAATATACAAGAAAAATGTTTCAGATTTTTCAAGCAGAACTAATTCAGTCTCAAAAATTTATCGCCAAAAAGATTGAGGTCAAGGATGGAGCAAACATCTATAAAGTACATCAGCTTCAAAGACAAAGGCCAGCATATATCGTTAGTCTAGATCTTGCATTGAAAAGAGCTGTTTGTTCATGTCACAAGTTCGAGTTCATGGGAATTCTATGTAGACATGTACTAATGGTATTTATAAAAAAACAGATTCACTCACTTCCAATGTATTATTTATTAGATCGATGGACAAGAAACGCAACCAAAGAAAAAGCTAATGACCCCTCAAACGTAACACAAACTTTGAAACCTTCTACTTTGTGGTTTAATAACATTATGATGCATTTTATTGGGTTATCTGAACGAGCTACAAAGTCTGAAAAACATTATCAATTTGCGCATCAAAGATTATTGCAATTGTGTGGAGAACTTGATGAGCTTTCTTATGAATCTGAGGAAGATTGTGTATCAGGTGGTCAAGTTAGTGAGAAAGATCAGGAAATAAACTCATGTGAACAAAGTCAAGATGTTACTTTGCTTGACCCTCCGGTAGCAACAACTAAAGGGCGCCCGAGATCTTTGAGGATGAGAGGTTTTCTAGAAGTTACTCAGAAGACCAAAAAAGTTTCGTCTCCAAAAATTAAAAGAAGATCTTCTCAAAAGCAAAAAAGGCAAACGAAAAGTGTGAAACTTAAGAGAAAGGAAACAAGGTAATTTCACTTAACATGATGCATATTATTTCTATTGGGATTACTTTTGTAATAACTTCTAAAATTACATTTGTAGTTCAAACATTAATGCTTATTTAGAATTTTATCAAGAATATGTTGAGAACGCTGGTTGTGCTTATGCCACCTCATTTACAGTAAGAATTGCTCTTTCTTTAATCATGTCGTGTATATATTGTTTACGTGATAAGATGCGTGTTGATGAATTACTATTCTCTTATCAGGATTTGATGAAAGCGGCTTCAACCCCATTCCAACAATATCGTCCTAGTTAGTGAGTAAAAAGATAGAAGATTTGGAGCTTTGAGAATAAGAAGGAAAGAGGAAGAAATAGTTCTTTAGATTTAGATTTATTAGTTTTTCTCTGTTTTTTAATTCTAAATAGTCCTTTCATTGTTTATTTTGATGTGTTTATTATGTAAAGACAGTATTAGTATTTGGACATAAACAACAGGTAAGCATGTTGATCAATGAACTGAGTTTGCTAGTGTATATGATTTTATTACATGGTTGATTTTTTTCTAGTTACTGGATCATCTCTTGTTTGGACAAAATAGATTCCTTGTCTAGCAGGTTCTCTTGGATATGAGATCGTCTCTTATCTTTTGTTTATTTTTACTGTGTGGTTGATCCTCATCAAACAAAAAATATTTTTACTACATACTTTAGGTTTCTGATTACATCTGGTGCTGATATGCCGCAAGTGCTATGCTCAGTTGCATCCTCGTGCTGTCAACTGCCGCAAGAAGAAGTGTGGACACAACAACCAGTTGAGGCCTAATAAGAAGATTAAGTACATACTGAATTCTAATTGCTGCTGACTTGTAGTTGCTTGGATTTTCTTATCAAAAAATAGAGTACTTGAATTTATTTTTTGCTTTCATGTTCTTTTTACCCTTTAGAGATTGATAGACTTGTATTTGGGAGGTATATGAAGATTTTTTGCTACTTAAAATAAGACTCATTAATTTCGAGGTGTGTTTTGATAAATAGTTAGGAAACACATGATAGTTAATGTAGGATACTCGCAAGAAAATGATACTACTTCGGTGTGCAGGCCCCTGTGATACACCAGATGTTGTTGAGCTTTTTCTCTCTTCCTCCTCTCTCACCAGCTGCTAATAGTATCATCAGTCTATGAATTTTCTCTTCATTTCCAAAATGGCACCAGAACAAGTACAAAGATCTAGACGTAATACATTACATAAATTTTAATTTCAGTCTTTCATATTTTGTATAAAATTTCATTTCATTTCATACAATTGTACAAATTCTGAATACATTTATATTTGAAATCATAAAAAGTCTCTTTTTTGCTCTTCAAATCATCTTCCATTTCTTTTACACCATGTAATATACATGTTGTTTGAATGGATAAGAGGAGCTTTATATGCATTGTTGTTGACTATTGTGAAGATAGAAATATGACATAAATCATAAGGTAGTCTAGAAATTTTTTCCAGATGGCTACAACTTTATCGTCCTTCACATTCCAATGGGTCGTGTCCAAGCAAACAACATTGATGACCTAGCTCGTTTGGCTGATGAGTATGGTTCAAGAGAGCTCCGATTGACTGTGGAAAAGAACATTATTAGTACTACTAGTATCCAGTTTTATGGACAAGACAAAAGTAGTTCCTTGAAGATAACTGAAGAAGTTCAAAAGCATGCATCTCTTATGAGGCTAGTACGGAAGCACTAGATAGGTTGCCAAATTGGTGTGCACAAGTTTTGAAAAAACTAGCAGAATGACATTTTTTAATGGAAGATCCAAGATAAAACACGATCCTTTGATCATACCCGGCAAAATCAGATACAGAGGCAGCACCAAGATGTTGTACCGCTGAAATATTTAGTTTTGCTTTTTGGTTGGTTGGCAGCTCATGGAACATGTTTTACCGAAGCTCATGAGCAAATTTTTCCACAATCCCTAGATGGTTTCAGCACACCAACAAGCTTCTCGAATAGCCTTGCAGAGATACTTGCATTTGAACCTCTTCAGTTCTCAATATTGGGAATAATAGTGTTCTGTTCTAGTGAGCCAGAGCTCTCCTGAACCATACTCATCAGCCAAACGAGCTAGATCATTCATGTCGTCAACTTCGACATAAGTAACAGGAATATAAAGATCAATAAAGCTATAACCTTTCTGGTTATGTATGCACGCCAAGATAATAACTTCTTTCTCATTGTTTGCACATACATAGCTTCAATAATAAAAGAGAATTTGGGACAATTTTCTGGTTTTATTTTCGAAGTAATTGAATTACAAGTAATGGAATGCAAACTGAATAAGCTCTACTTAAATATTGAAGGCAATCTAGTCCGTTGAAACTCATTAACCTGAGAATATATTCTCCCTCTAGCTCTTGCTGAGAGCCTGAGACATTGTCTTTTCAACCTTTGCGTAGAATTCTTCTGCACCATACGTTAGTTGAAATTGAAACCAAGTCAGATCAGATAAAGACACTTAGCAGATACCCCTCTAGATGAGATGATAGTACATCAACCAGTTAACACCATTACATGAAGCAGGACTTGCCATAGAACACTATCAAATCAAATCTCTACATTTCTGCTTGTTCCCTTTGAAACCAAGATCTGAAAAAAAAACTTCCAGTAATGCTTAGCAAATCGAAACAAAATTACCTAACCTGATGCCATTACATAACTTGAGGTTTCTAGGATGAATATAGTTGGAATTGGAATACAGATACTCCAAAGCTAGCAATATCTGAGTCAACCAGTAAAGCAAGAGAAATGGAGACGACCACAATATACTTTAAAATGTGAAATTTGTTCTAATTGTATAGCAACATACCACTAGGTAGAAGAAGCTTGTCAAGTTTCAAAATCGCCTGATGCCTTTAAAAATTATTACTTAGCAAATTCACAAGTTTTGAAGCTTTGAAGAACTACATAAGCATGATTCTGGGAAAACATACGGTAAAACTCAATATTGTATTTAAGTATGGAAAGAAAATAATTTAGTTATAGAAATAAATATGATTAGAATCCAAGTAGGACTCAACTGTTGATATTCTTTTTTTTTTTTCCTTTTTATAATTATTGTTATTTTATTAAATAAATTACTATGATTAAATTTCATTAAAAGTACCTGATGGTGTAGAAATTTCATACACCAACGGTGCACAAAACTTAAACTCTTTTATATTGTAGAAAAATCATTTGAAAAATTACGTAATTATACGATTTAATATAACATAATTTTAAAAAAATTCTACCATTTAAATTAATTTAAAAAAATCTCCTTTTTCCTTCTCTCTCTTAATATTCAGATACATCACTCCACCTCTATTAGATATATTACAATTTTGTTTGTGTACAATGTAAATCGTAGAAATGTTATTGTTGATACATAACCCCAATTATTTCAAACCTAAATCAGTATGAATTTGTTTTAGATAGTTATGTAGTTACGTATCTGATACATAACTTATGTATCGTTTGCTATGCATCGGGCGAAGAAGATGTATCCGCGAGTTCTGAAAAATTCAAGATTAATAAAACATTTAATGTAATTCACTCCCAAATTATTACGATTTCTGTATTTTATACTTTAATAAAACACACTTGATATTTCTTTTGTTTGAGTTTAGCTTATGAAACTTAGTTATAAATACAAAGAATATGATTAAATTATTTTTTACTCAAAAAAATAATAAGTTAAACAGACATCTTTTGAGGTCACTGTTAATAATTCAAACATTATCCTTTTAAATTTTAACCCAAATTGTGAGAAGTTAATTCATTTAATTTGACGGTGCCTACATCAAAATTAAATATTTTTTTTAAAAAAAGAAAATATCATGTTGGGACAGGGAATTAAATGAAAATAAAAATTCAAGAACCAAATTATCTATCAAAGATTAAGAGTATAT